GGCACAACTGACGTCAGAGCGGCCTGCTGGGCAGCGCGGTGGACCTCCCAGCCACACCGCCTACCAGCAGTCCGTGCTGCCCTCGGTGCGCTGAGGTCCCGTGCCCACGAGGATTTGGCCGACCGCACCTTCCACACTCGGGAGCAGCTGGTGGCGACACTCAAATCATTCCCGAAGGGCACGGGCACGGGGCCAGACCAGTGGAAGCCAGCACACATCCTGGCCCTCTCGGACCAGGGGCAGGAGTCTCTCGTCACGCTCTTCAACATGATCGAGCGAGGGCTGGCATGGCCGCACCAGCTGCTGCACAACTGGTTCGCGCTGCTGCCCAAGGGCGAGAAGCAGGAGCTGGGCAACGAGAGGGACATCGGCCTCCTGCCGATGCCCGTCAGGATCTGGGGGCGCCTCACCAAGACCCCCCTGACTGAGTGGTGCGACAAACGGGCTGCGCACTGGGATGCCGCGGTGAGAGGCAGCAGCGCGCTCCAGGCCGCCCTGCTCACCATGGTCCTGGACGAGACTCGGGCACACATAGGCCTCACGAGCAGAGCAATTTTCTGGCAGATGTTGAGAAGTTTTACGACCATATGGACTTGGCTCAGATGATTTTGCAGGCTATCGAGCTTCAATTTCCTGCGGTGGAGCTGTACCTCTGCTGCCTGGCGTATCTTTCGCCTCGGACGGTCAAGGCCCAAGGGGCTTACGCCGAGCCCATCGTGCCGAATTGCTCCATCGTGCCAGGATGCGGGAAGGCCAACCATTGTGCAAGAGTCTTCCTGTACCGACTGTTGGAGAGGGCTCATGAGAGGGCCCCGCTGGCGCACATCAGGCAGTACGTCGATGATGTACACACGCGAGTGGAGGGTCCAAGAAAGATGGTGCTGGACCAGACTAAGACGATCACTTGCGAGCTGGTGCAGGGCATGCTGGACCTGGGACTCCGAGTCTCCCCCAAGTCGCTCTTGATGATGACGAATGCGAAGGACGAGGTGAGAGTGCAGCGGCACGTCTTGCAGAGCACGGGTATCAAGATCAAGCGAGCCAGCTGGGCCAAGGACCTTGGGGTGGACTGCTCCATGGGACTCAAGCGTGCGACCAAGACCGCCAAGGGCAGGATGACCACGGCGCAGGCTCGCGCCACGCGCACAGCCCTGTTCAGGCGAGTCGGTCGAGGAGGCATCAGAGCCAAAGGAGTCATGCTGCACAATACCAACATCAAGGCGAAGTTTCGATATGCTGATCCGGTCCTGGGAGTGGCGACGTCTGATATGGAGCGCAGGCGTGCCCAAGCGGCAGACTTGGCGGGGCACACAGTCGGTGGCAGATGCACGGCCTCAGTCCTGCTGCTCCACTACCAGGACGACGAGCCCAAGATGAGCGTGGTCAAGGATCAGGTCAAGCAGTGGTTCCAGTTCTGGGAGGCCCATCCAGAGCTGCGAGAACGAGTTCGACGGGGCTGGCGAGCGGTGCTCAAGCGGCTGATATACCTGCGCCCCCGCTCAAGATGGCGGTGCGTGACGGGCCCGATGGGGGCTCTCATCATGACGCTGCGCGAGCTCGGCTGGACCCCGCGAGCTCCAGACCACTGGCTCGACGACCAGGGGAACGAGTGGAAGCACATGGGCGATGCCGCGGACAGCTACGACGAGCTGTACGAGGCTCTGTGCTCCTCCGTCAGGCGCGACCTCTGGCAGCAGGCTGGCGATCATCCTGCAGGGCAGGGGCTGCGCGAGGGCGGCGACATGCACATGCTGCGGGTCAACCTGCGGAGGCTCCGTCGTCAGGAACGACACCGAGAGGCAGGTGCGCTGGAGGCGAACGCTCTGGCTTGCATCTGGACGAAGGCTCGTGCCAAATCCTCAGGGTACAGATGTGATGACGTTTGCCCGAGGTGCGAGCTTGGAAAAGACACGATTGCTCACAGATTGTACGAGTGTCAGGCGAATGTCAACATCGACCATGAGTGGGTGTCTCGAACTGAGTCGTTGTGTGAGCATGCTTTGAAAGATTTGCGTGAGGGCACGAACGTTTGTTTCTGGACTCGGGGGATCGCCCCCCCGCCCTGGAACCCTGCGCCCCCGCCCCCCGAGTGGAACTCTGGAGAAGGCCAAGAGGTTTGGGCTATAGGGCTCCCCCCTCCCGACCTCGACTCCTCCTTCGAGCTCCTCCCTTCCTCTTCTTTCCCCCTCCAGGCGCAGGTGGGCTTCCTTGACGGCTCCGCCACGTCCAGCGATGCCCGAGTGTGCCGTGTTGGTTGGGGGGTGTATTTCTGTGTGGAAGGCGAGGCGGAGCTGGACGTGGAAAGAGGGGTCCTCCGCGGGCTGTTCGGAACCATCGACGGACCCCAGACAGTGCCTGCTAGTGAGCTTGCCGCGTTGGTTTGGGCCCTTAAGGTCACCAAGGGGCCCATTGAGCTGTGGTCTGACTGTGCTCTTGTCTTTGAAGGATGGTGTAAAGGCTTTGCCTCAGCTCCGCAGGGCCCGCTCATTCAATGGTGGTCTCGGGTGAGAGCGGCCCTGCAGAGCAGAGGCGAAGGGCACGTTGTTCTAAAGAAGTGTTTTTCGCACCTGGATGCTGAGTCCCATATGCGCGTAGGTCAGGATCTGAAAGTGTCTCGGGGAAACGAGATGGCCGACCAGCTAGCCCAACGAGGTGCTGAGGCCGCCGCCGCCCCCATCCGTAGTGCCATAAAAGCTTTGAACGTTGCAGATGCCAGAGCCACCTTAGTGCACCAGAGGATAGGGGCGATTTTGGCCCATGGCTGCTCTGAACTGGATCGGGGGGACCGTGGGGAGTTCGGTGGGTCGCTCGGTTCGGAGTCGGGTCTGTCGAGGGTGGGGGAGCTAGAGGCCAGAGCTGGCCATCAGATGCAGCGTCTCTCGAATGGTCTGTGGTCCTGCAAGCTTTGCCGCCAGTCCCCAGGCCGTTTCTCCCTGGAGGATTGGCTCCAGGCTTTCTTGTGCCCAGGAGATGTAGCCCAGCGTGACCTCAGTGAGCACGGGCACCATGTCAGAGTTCTCCCCACGAATGTGCATTCCCTCAGAGTGGGCGATCGAGTCGTCCACAGCTCCCACTCTATTGCTATGATGAACGGTCTAGCGTGGTGCTGGAAGTGTGCTAGATTCGGGACAGTGGTCCAGGGCGGGGGTCGCTTGCGTGAGCTGGCCAACCTCTGTCCCGAAAAGCGCACCAATTCGGGACGCAATTATTTGAATCGGCTGAGCCGAGGTCTCCCCCCCAAGGCTGGCAAGGACTGGCCCATCCCCCAAGGCGCTGGAGGCGGCAGAGCGCCACTGCCCGTCGTCGGATCGAACGTCAAGGACTTCCGACGGCGGCGGGGGGATGGAGGGGGGGGGAGAGTGAGGGCTTTCGATTGTGTGTAATCGAACTGACGCGAGGGGGTGCGTCACGGACGCATCCCCCTCCTGAAGAGTTACTCCAGTCCCCTCCTCCCCCTCCTCCTCCTCCTCCCCCTCCTCCTCCCCCTCCTCCTCCTCCCCCTCCTCCCCCTCCTCCTCCTCCTCCTCCTCCTCCTCCTCCTCCTCCTCCTCCTCCTCCTCCTCCTCCTCCTCCTCCTCCTCCTCCCCCTCCCGAGGGCTTTTCGTTGAACACGAATCCGACAAGACGGCACGTCCGACCCATCATCAGCAGCACCCTGCAGCTACAAGCAGCAACAGCACACAGCAGCGGCAATTGAGCACTGCGAGCAGCACGCAGCAGCGGCGGCCGGCAGCAGCACGCAGCGGCACGCGCGGAGCACGAAGTTCGAGCCCCACGCCATCACGTCAGCCTTTCGGCAGCATGTCCACCAGCACGTGCCAGCTCGTGCAGACATCATGGACGTCGTCCACGGCTCAGCCCGAGTCTACAGCGCAGTGGAGGCCCATGCCAAGAAGCACCCTGCTCGCCTCCAGGGTGCCCTGGGTCTCTTGGGCTTTGATGGTCTTGATGTGGAGAGCGCGACGCTCCCACACCAAAAGTCCATGGACGTCCTGGGGCCTCAGGGTTGGGTTTTCTTGTGGAAGGTTTCTTGTGGATCGGCCTCCACTGCACGCTGCTCGAACCCGTGCGCGCGAGACTGCGCTGCCGCAGCCCGGCCCTGGGCAGCTCCTGGGGCGCTCCTATGGGGCGGTCCTGGACGGCCCTGGGCGGCCGCCAGAAGGCCCCAAGACGCTCCATGGCGGTTCAGGGACGCCCCTGCGAGCGCCCGCGAGGCATTCCGCCTCCTCCTCCTCCTCCTCCTCCTCCTCCTCCTCCTCCTCCTCGTCCTCGTCCTCCTCCTCCTCCTCCTCCTCCTCTCCTCCTCCCCCTCCCCCTCCCCCTCCCCTCCTCCTCCTCCTCCTCCTCCTCCTCCTCTCCTCTCCTCCTCCTCCTCCTCCTCCTCCTCCTCCTCCTCCTCCTCCTCCTTCTCCCCCCAGAGAACCCGAAGAGAGCCTCCGAATGCTCCAAGCCCTAAGACACGCCAGGAGGCCCTCCCACGACGGCCTCGGGGGACCCCGATCCCCACGAGGCCAAGCTCGTATGTTTTCCCTCCGGTTTTTCCCCAGGTTCTCCCCATTTCGTCCCCAAGAACGGCTCCGGACGGCCCTCTGCGCCTCCCACATCGCGCCAACGCTGCCCAAGAACTCCCAGGAGAGGCCTTTCATAGCCCCAGATGCCCCCCAGGTGGCCTCAGGGCACTAGAGCGCCCGAAGACGGTCCCAAAGAGCTCCAAGTTCCCTCCAGGCAGGCCCCAGGAGTCCCCACAGAGCCTTCAGAGCCCCACGGGCTCCCCCGGACGGCCCCAAGACGATTCTACATTAAGCTTCCCGGGCCGTCCCCCAGAAGAGGCTCTGGGGGGCAGTCAGGGAGCGGCCCCACAAGACGCCCTAGACAGTCTCGCAGGATGAACCAGCATGCCCCCGACAGGGCACCAGAGGCACCCAAGCTGTTCAACTTCGACGAGCTGTCCACCCACGGTATGCGACACACCGTGGATTTAATCCACGGGTTCGCACTAGTCAGCTACACCGCTGGGATCAGCGCGTGCGAGAAGAGCGAGCAGTGGCAGCCGGCGCTGGCGCTGCTGAGCGAGATGCCGGATGCGAAGCTGAAGCCCAACGAAATCGGTCCAGCCAACCTGGGCTCGCTCCTGGGCCCCCCCAGGAGGCTCAGATGGCCCGAGACGCCCCCAGAGGGTCCTAGAGGTCGCCAACATGGTCGTCATGCGGCCCAAGAGAGCTCCAAGACGGCCCGAGAGGGCTATAAGAAGGCCCCCCAGAAGGCCCCTAAGAAGCTAGGATCATTGATGTTCCTAAAGCTTTTTAATGATTCGACGTTCTCGCCCCCCTGAGTGTTCTGGACCCGCAGTGGGCCCCCTCCGATCTCGGACGGCCACGGCCATGATATATCATCGTCGGAGGAGAAGGCTCGCACACTTCTAAATTTCCAGTCTTTGGCTCCATACGCGGCTGAAGATCGTCCCAGGGCGGTCCAAGACGCCCCCTACAGCAGCTCCCTTACTCCCGAAGGCCTGGCTGGGCTCCAAGGTAGCGCACGAAGCCCCCCAAAAAACACGAGAAGTCTCAGATTTAGCCAAAGAGAGCCCCATGACAGATTTCGGCAGCAAGCAGCAGCAGCAAGCAGCAGACAAAACAATCCAGCAAACCGGCAGCAAGCTGTGCGCAAGCAACAGGCCACAGGCAAACAGTCCTCGAGCAGAACTAGCAGCGCTCAACTTCAACAGACGCGCAGCAACGAGCGCACGCTGGACACG